GAATCTTTTCCCCACTCAATGTTTTTAATTGGCTTGTCAAAGATCAGGTACTGGTAAGTAGTTGGATTCATCTGTTGGCTCTTTATTCTGTTCCATACATCTACCTCTCTATTTTTGTGCCAGTACCATGCTGTTTTAATCACATTGATTTATAGTATAGTCTGAGGTCTGGTAGCGTAATTCCTCCTGCTTTGTTTTTATTCCTGAGTAATGTCTTGGCTATTCAAGGTTTTTTCTGATTCCATATAAAACAAAGTATTTATTCAAGATGTTTAAAGTATGACAGTGGAGCTTTAATAAGGATTACATTAAAATTGTATATTGCTTTCGGTAGTATGGACATTTTAACAATGTTGATTGTTCTGAGCCACGAGCATGGTATGTTTTTCCATTTGTTAACATCTTCAACTATTTCTTTTCTCAGCTCTTTATAGAGATCTTTCATGTCCTTTGTTAGGTAAACTCCCAAATAGTTCATATTCTTTGGCACTACTGTGAATGGAATAGAGTCCTTGACTGTTTTTTTCAGCTTGACTGTTGTTGGTATATATGAAGGCTATCAATTTATGAGTGTTGATTTTGTAGCCTGAGATGCTGCTATATTCCTTGATCACTTCTAAGAGTTTTGCGGTAGAATCCCCGGTGTTTTCCAGATATACAATCATATCATCTGCGAACAATGAAAGTTCGATCTCTTCTGACCCTATATGGATACCCTTGATTGCCTTTTCTTGTGTAATTGCAATGGCTAAGACTTCCATTACAATGTTAAAAAGCAGTGGAGACAATGGGCAACCTTGCCTGGTTCCTGATCTGAGTGGAAATGATTTCAGTTTAACTCCATTCAATACGATATTGGCTGTGGGTTTGCTGTAGATGGCCTCTATCAGTTTGAGAAATGTCCCTTCTATACCCATTTTCTTAAGTGTTCTGATCATGAAACGATGCTGGATAGTATCAAAAGCCTTTTCTGCATCAATTGAGAGAATCAGATGGTGTTTGTTTTTTAATTTGTTTATGCGAAGAATTCTATTTATAATATAATTGAACCAGCCTCGAGACCCTAGGATAAAACCCACTTGGTCATGTTGTGTAATTTGTTTGATGTGTTCCTAGATTCTGTTTGTTAGGATCTTGTTGAATATTTTTGCATCAATATTCATTAGTGATATTGATCTATAATTTTCTTTTCTTGTTGGGTCTTTTCCTGGTTTGGGGATCAAGATGTTTGCTTCATAGAATGTGTTGGATAGTATTCCTTCTTTTTCTATATCTTGAACAAGGTTGAGTAATATAGGTACTAGTTCCTCTTTAAAGGTTTGGTAGAATTCTGATGTAAAGCCATCTGGTCCCAGGCTTTTCTTTTTTAGAGAGATTTTGTATAGTTGATGCTATTTCAGAACTTGATGTGGGCCTGTTCAACATTCCACTTCATTCTGGCTAAGTCTTGGAAGGTGGCGTGTTTCCAAGTATTGGTCAGTTTCCTTCAGATTTTTGTATTTCTAAGAATGAAGTTTCTTGTAATTGTTAAGGATTTTTTGAATTTCTGAGTAGTCTGTTCTTATTTCGTCTTTACCATTTCTGATTAATGAAATTAGAGATTTTACTCTCTT